GGTGGTTGCTTTAAATTCTTTTGGAAAGGTAGGAACTCAGATTAAGAGAGGCTGGTGTACGGTTGGCTGTATGAACAAAGCTAGTCACTTATGTGAGTTACCTAGTGACATAAGCAATAGATCTATGATAGTTGCCGTTCGTCGATATGCTAGACCGAAATTGTGCTTACACACACAAGCTTGGTTAAGACGAAGCTGTAATATTTGGAAAAATTTCCTGTAAACTTTTCCTGGTACTAATAAAAACATCTTACAATACGATTTTAATGCTAGAATTGAAGATGCCTGGGAGTCATGAAGTTGCCTGGGGAGGCATGGAACAGCTAAAATGAATAACAACTGTCAGTTGTGTCCTGAACTACAAACAGAATTTCAGTTTCATAATGCGAGTACATAATTTCAACACAAACGTGGCAATATATGTATGTACATAGTTCATAGTCAATGGAACCTACTAACATACATGTAGGCCACAAACGCGATATGCAAGATGTCTGCAATGCAAGATGTGCGCGATATCTGCAATACAAGATGTCGGCGATATGCAAGACGTCTGCAAGATATGCAATAGATCTGCAAAGGAAGATATCCGCGAGGTTCAGGCTTTTAGATTAACCATGCATTTTAACAAACCAAATTGTGTTTGGTCATGAAAATAGCCGCTCGAAATCACACTACTTTGAAGCCTTGGTATGGTGAAAATCGTCATGCACAATGCCTTCAAGCACTGAATAGACGAATTGAGATTCAGGATGATTAATATAACTGAAAAGAAGCACGTGATCAGATCTGCAATGAGTCAAAAGAGACACTGGTATTAGTTTCACCTAAAAGGCGGGATTGGTTTAAGGGAAAAGACCAAGTCATTCAAAATATTCTCTCAAACGAGACCAAGATGCGAGAAGGAATACTATAAGAAGAATACAAACTAGCACCCAACGACAGCGAGAATGCCAACTCAATGAGCCAAATCTAAATCTTCAGAGAAGGCTACGTGATATGAAAGATACATTTTGGTCTGAATTAGCAGCGGAAATGATGCTTGCTGCAGAAGCTAGGAAGGGAAAATATGTATACAACTTCTTTTCGTAGGCCTTTATTATATATATATATATATATATATATATATATATATATATATATATATATATATATAAAAATGTAGATATGTGTTTGCCTTTGATGATCACTTATTAAATACCATCACACGCAGAACCAATTATTCAGAACATTTCTACATTGTGTCTCACAGAGCCCGGAAGAAACACCATCTTTAAATCTTGGAGCAGGCTGTAATCAACACACAATATCTGGTTCTGTGTAGACAGAAAAGTAATTGTCATTTTCGGTGAGTCCATGATCCGTTCTGATTGAACTTTGATTTTTTTCCCTCCATTTGACTTTCAAGGTTTGTTGCAAGGAACTTTTTTTCTTTTAGGTATTTTAATTTTAATTCTAACGATCTTTAATTCTGAAGAGGCCTCGGACGAAAGGCGCCTTCAGTTGTTTTTTTTTTTTTCTATTTTTAATCGAGACGATAATTTGTATCCGAGTTTGAATAATAAAATTGTAAATTAAATATTTTTTACAAATACGCGCACACACACACACGCATAAACACACACACACATACACACACACACACACACACACACACACACATATATATATATATATATATATATATAAAGTTCCTGTTTAATATTGACGTCTTTTTATATTTAGGGCTTCTGCTAGTTAGTAGGTTATGTTAGTTATTTCTGTCTTTTTAATTTATTTCTGTTATCCATCACGATATTGTCACCTTTATCTAACGTGTTTCAAAAAAAAAAAACTGTTTAAATCTATTATTATAGATAATTTTTATTTCGTGAGCAACATAAATGTAAAAAGCACATGCTTTATTAACTAGTACGAAATATTTCTTAAGCGTATAAAGTGAATTGGAGGAAGTATTTATATCTGTTTTAACGTATTTTATGTCAAAAATTAAAAATGACTAAATCCTATATTTGGGTATATATATATATATATATATATATATATATATATATATATATATATATATATATATATATATATCATTATTTATTCAAAAAAAATATAATATACATGTTATAAAATCACTACAAAAATAGCCATTTTGTTTCAACACCTCTGGTGTCTTATCAAGTGATAATGTTGAATGTTGTTTGTAGAATAAAGGTTTTAAAAGGTTCAAATTAATTAACCACCCCTCGTAAGGGGAAACGCTGTCACATGAGTTGGAATGACCAATCAAAATACAAGTATACGAGAATTCAAAATATTGACAACGAAGTAAAGTTATAATAACTATTAAATGCTTTAAAGTTGGGTTTATACTAAAATAGAATTTATTCTAATAAGTATTACATTGTACAATAAAATTTTAAATTAAGATTAAAATCTACCCATTTCAAAAATGTAAATTTAATTTATATTAAGTTTAAAATTCTAAAATTGTTGAGGAAAAAATAAAAAATAAATATTTTAATCTATTCATTTTGTTTCTATTGAAATTACGTTGGAATAAACGTTAAGATCGACTGCCCTTAACTTGATGACAACATGGATACGCGTGTAGACATGGGATTATAACATCTTGCGAAAAACAATAAAAACACAATCAGGTTACAATACATAAGCACGCTGACATATTTAGATATATACACACACAAAAAAGTGAAGATACAGGAAATATTTGCACGACATTTTACAAAAAAAAAAAGAATTAAAAAAATAAACCACACACATATACAATGAAATGTGCAAGCAATTTACTATACACAGACACCGAAAAAGATACGTACATATACCCACATACATTGACATAGACACTCTGATATAACACTCAAGAAATATTCAAGATTGAAGGTGTTATTAAATGAATTGTAACCCCATATTAAAATATAACTTATACGAGCCAATATACATAGATAAAAAATGACGTAATAGAACAGAGAAACAAACAATAGGTAAAGAACGGACATTAAAATAGATATATACATATAAAAATAACACCATCTAATATATCTCACGTACATTCTGTGAAAATTTATCCGATATTCAGGCCGGTAAATGTAGTTTAATACTGTTTATAAAAAGAAAATTTACTTAAATATTTCTATGTATAAAAAGAATGTATAATCATAAAATGTCTTAAAACAATTGTCGGACTTTGTCCATTTCATAATGTGTGACGTCATTTGTTTACATTTGATACGCTATAAGTAGATATGAATGTACACGAGAGATTCATGGAAGATTGAAGTTTAAATACAGTAAATTCGACCTTGGTAATCGAACGCGCCTCTGTGGCCAAATCGGTAAAGGCACGTCAAGCTAAATTGTACAGGTTCGAATCCTGTCCGAGGACGAATATTTTCTGTGAAAAGTTCTCAGACATTCTGTCCGGTAAATGTTGTTTAATACTGTTTGTTATAAACAGAAATTTTACTTAAATATTTGTATATATAAAAAGAATGTATAAACATAAAATGTCTTAAAATAATTGTCGGATTTTGTCCATTTCATAATATATATATATATATATATATATATATATATATATATATATATATATATATATTTAGATAAATTGGCGGGGTATTAATAATTACGAGGAAAAGGCTAAATATATATGGCATTTTTAAACAACCAGTTTCGTCCCAGGACTTATGAATTTATTTTTCTGGGTATAATAATATAAAAGTAAAAATATATATATATATATATATATATATATATATATATATATATATATATATATATATATATATATATATATATATATATACGTACGTATGTATGTATATACTGTTACAAATTTAATGTTAATTTTCCAAAATAAGCCAGAAAAATTCTTATTCGAAAATGAAATATGCTTTAAGCCCGAAAACAAAATAAAACAAACAAAAAAAAAACCGAAAATCTTATGTGTTTTGAACAGAACCGTTTAAAAAGATCCCAATAATCAGTGTAAAATTATCAACTATTTCCGCATTTATGAATAAAAAATAATGTTTGCATTAAGCCAGTGAAGTGCTACTTTTGTAATTGGAAAGAAAGTGTAGAAAGTAGGAAATTAGAATCAAAAGCTCTTGTTAACGTTCTAATATTGTTTTCTAGTATTAATGCATCAATAGCGGCTTCAAAAAATCGCTATAAAAACGCTGTAAATTGTAGTCTAATGCATCATGCTGCTGTAAATTTTATCCTTATGTCATTAATTTAGAAGCACTAATTACACATAGATAGGAGTGAAATAGAATCATTTGAGGAATTATTGGACATATTTATTTGAGAAGTATAAAATAAAAGATTATATTCGTTATTTTATTTTCAGTCTATTGTATCCTAATATACTCACACATCAACAGTACATTGTATTTTTTCCGGAACTCTCTATACATAATCAACTAATGGTTAGAAATCTTGTCTAAATCATTATTCCTGCCGTGTAGATAATGTGAACATAATTTTTATGCACAAAGATTTATTTTAAGCTAGGTAAATATGTATTTCTGAATTTACTTCTTTATTTACTTATATAAATATTTTTTTTTATCTTTTTTATCAAATAACAATCTTTATTCCTGAACATATATATGGAAGAAAAAGTTAATAGTAATGATGTGTATACGGTGTATAACTTGCTATTTTAATTACTGGGCATCTGATTTTATGTATCTAATTATTCTCTAAAAGTATTTACATTTTTTATCTTCTTGTCTTGTAATTTATTTCCTTTCCTAAAGTCTCATGTAGGCATCAGTATAATAATAAAATCACAGTTCTTTCCTATCTAAACAAAATCAATAAATATATTCATAAAACATAACCCTGCCATAAAAAAGCAAACTGCTAGGGAAATGAGTCGCATCTGTAATGCTTTGGTAGAAATTTCTATTCGCTACCATTACATTCAAGACGTTCCAGTACAAAGTAATCGTTCAGATAAATGAACTTGGACATTGTGA